GATCCGTCAAGCAGTCGTGGCCATCCAGCCATGCTCTGCTACACTGAAGGAGGACACCATCACGTTCTCTCACCTGCCCATCCAGAGTGGGCAGTCTGACACCAGGAGAGTCCTTCAGATCCAGTTCTCCTGCTTCACCTGAAGAGCTCTCTGCAACTGGGGGCAGCTCACTGCAAACGCACCACACGAGGAGCTTGTATGAGCTTGCTGCCAGTTTGTGCTCAGGGGCCAAGCCCAAGGGGAGCCCAGGAGCACGGCGTTACACAAGTGCCTTGCTCCAAGAGCCTCACCTCACCGCATGCTCTGCTAACCCTGATTTCCCAAGCCTCTTTCCCCTCCACGTCATTGGTGACGACTGGAGAAACACGTGCTTGAGTGAGCAGGCGCGTGCCAGGAGGACCTTCTGCAAGTACAGAAAAGGGAAGCTCTTCCCACCGCCATCTCTACGACAGCTTCCACCAGAAGCACAGGCCAGCCTGCTCACGCATGGGCTACTAGGGACTGAGCCTGCACTCCTCCTGGCCCTTGCAGATTCTCCTTAGTGTCCAACTCTCCCTTTCTAGGGCATCACGTTGCTCCCTAAGGTCTGCCGGTCCCACTGCTTTCTCGGCTCCAGACGCTAAAAAGCGGGTGTAGCTGTTACGTTACCTCTTATGCCTCTTGGCTCCCCAGAGCTGCCTTCTCCCCACACATTTATCTGTGCGTGCTGGACAGCTCTGGTGGCAGCTTGCTGCTCTGCATTGCGCAGGTCTTGCTCACTTGCAAACCTGCAAACCAGAAGGACACAGCAATGAAACCTCACGGCGGAGGCTCACCAAACCCTGCTCTGCACTTCCTCCCCCAGACCAGAAGACTTAAGTGCTTGGAGAACACGCTCAGAACCTCCCAGCAGCGATACAGGCAACATCACCAAGGGAAACGCCTCCCTCGCACCCGTCCAAGAGCGCAGCGTTCCCCAAAGCCACTTCCCCCAAAGTCCCACCTCACTCTGCGCACTCCAGCCCGCGCCTTTGCCCTCCCCTCTCCCGTCACCTCCGCATCACGGCTCGGCTTGGGTGGCCTCCCGCAGGGAAGGAGATGCCTGCCAGCGAGACACCCTGGAAGCCCAAAAGGAAGAAGCTCTTCACACCTGCATCCCTGCAACAGCTCCCAGAGGAAGGACACGATCCATCCCTAACGATCCATCCTAAGTGCATTTCTGCCAGGCTCTCTAGAGCCCAGCGGGAGCAGCAGGGCACCTCTTACACCACCCACAGCCACAACACCCAGGAAGACAGCCACACTGCTAATTCCACCCCGCAAAAACAACCCATCTCATTAGGCTGCTCGGGCATCTCCTCCCCCTCACCACCACAGGAGACCTCAAACACCCAGGTCTTCACCTCAATCGTGAAGAAGGTCCCCCCCGCACGCTGACGTTCTCGCCTCCGCCGCTGCACCGCAGAGGCCCGGGGCACCCTCGGGAGCCACTCGCTGCCACCTCAAAAAGCAGAGGAGCAAGGCCATCAGCAGGTGCTGCCAGGCCCAACCCCTCAAACAACTCCCAACACCTCCCTCTACCCCGACGCTCAGAGACATTTTGGGACACCCCACGCCACCCTGGGCCACGACAGCACTGGGCCCGCACCAGCACCCAGGACACAAACCCAAGCCGGGGGGCCTCCCTCCGTGGCCACCATGACGCAGACCTCGGTTGTCAACCCAGGCAACAGCCACAAACGCCCGAACCACGGGGACTAACTTCCCGGCAAGAAGGACAAACATCCCGGCCTCAAACTCACCCAACACGGCGCAGGGATGTCAACGGGCATGAGACAAAGGCCACAGGCAGGCAAAAGCCCTTGCTTGGAAACCTCGACAGCACTCCGGCCATGGATGCGGCTGGCAATTCCTCTCCGAAGTCAGTCTCGCAAAGTCTCCGTAGCAGAAGGACACCTCAAGAAGAACCCTGGGATGGAGGTTACTCAACGTGCATGAATAAAACAACATAAAACCAAAACCCAGCCTCTCCCCCCTGAGGACGGGCACCACCAGATCGGCCCCTGCTGGCAGGCACCTTGGGCCACCCCATCACGGCCCCGGGATGATGATGACACTCGGCCCCGCGCCAGTACCAGCTCCCTCGGGTGCTCGATGGCCTCCTGCCCTGGCCACCCACGGGCACGGCAAACCCTCCCGCCGGGGAGCAGCCCCTCGGCTGCTTTGCAGACAGCTTGGCGCAACGTTGCCGCGTGGGGCGAAACAACCCAGGCCTGTCGGACCTGTATGTAACCAGACCCCAGACGTGGGCGCTCCACGGGCTCGGGGACGGGTTCGGCTCTCCCTCGCCAACGAGGGGGCTTCCAGCCCTCGGGAACGCTATTGCTGAAGAATTCCTTGTGAAGAGGGACAGGGCAGAGGCTTCAGCCTTGTTTCACCTTCTCAGTTTCCATGTTTGCCTTTTTCTCTTAGGTCCTTTTTCACATTTCTGTTTCTTTGCTTCTTTCTCACACGTCCTCCTTGGAGCCAAATAATTAATTTCTACATACCTCTCGTTTCTTTGTTGTTTTTTTTTCCTCTATAATTCACGTTTTTTCTATTCAGTTTTCTCTTCCTCCTGTTCCGGTTTCTGACAGCTGGGCTACGGAAAGCTCTCAGACAGTACGTGCCGTTTGGAGCGTGCCAAAAGGCACAGATTCACTTACCGTGTTCACCAGACAGCGACAGCGCAACCGCTAGATGAGCCTCTTGGCCAAGCTGTCAGGGCGAACCCCTGAGGCATGCAACGCTCTGGCTCCGGGGCCGTCAGTGACTTCAGCATCCACAGGGCCCTCAGCAAAGATGCGGTCCTCGCTGGGATTTCGTCTGGCTTCCCTGCTCCGCTCAGGTGGCGCCTGCACGTCTCCTCCGTCGGCAGCTGAGCTGCTGCTGCCAAACCGCGGCCCCAGCTCCTGGGATGGTTGTCTTCGCGCTTGCTTCTCCCTTTAAGCCCCTTCCCAGCGCAGCTCAGCCTGAGCTGGTGTCCAGCGCAAACACGCTCCCTTCTTCCTCAAGGCTTTCCTGTTCCCTTTGTGACGAGTCCTTGCTGTGAGCCATCCCTTCGCCCTTCTCAGCACAGCTCCCGAGCCCCCTCGGTCCCTGGCAGGCCTGCCCCGGCCCTCCTTCTCCCCTGCCCCCAAACCACTCTCCTCCTCCCTTCTCTCAGGGGGGTTTTTGCTCGGTCCACCCACATCGCCTATCACACCCCTCCTGCCCCGCCAAGTCTCTGCTGGAGGAGGGCACTTCCACTCCCCCTCGCCCTGCGCATACACCGCTTCGGTGTTTGGCACGCTGGTTGGGCGCGTGTCCCAGCCCCAGCTCTGGGAAAGGAGATCCTGCTGTCACCCTGCTACCCCTCCAGCCCGGGAAGGGCGCTCCCACGATCCTCATTTCTAAGACCATCGCCAAGGCAAAGCACAGCCAAACGGGGCGCTCCTGCTGCCCCCAGTGCCACCTCCCCAGCCCCGAGCTGCTCCTGCTTCAGGGTACCTGGGGGGGGGGCTGAGCCCCTCTCCAGCTCTCTGGGGCCCTGGGGAGCCCTGCCTCGAGTTCGCACCCCTTTGGGGCCTCGCAAGTGATCCTCGCTCCCCCGTCTCCAGCTTTTCAGCCATGCCCTTCTCCCAAGATTACCGCTGTCCCAGTGGGTCCTTTTACCAAGCGGGGAGCTCAGGCAGGGTGAATGCCACAGCTACCCAAGAGAGATAAAAACCTCTGGGGGAAATGAGCTCCCTATTTTTCTCTTGCCCTACTTTTTTATTACTTATTTCCAGTCATCTCCTCCCTTTTGCCAAGGATCAAATGCTAGCATGCTCAGAAAACCGACGAAGCCCAAACCGCCGGCTGAGGATCACGCTGCCAGCAATGCTGAACTGCCTCTAAGCACTTGAAATATGAGGGGACTTTTTTTTTTTTTTCCCCCTCTAGGTAGCCCAAGTGTCATTTCTAATGCTTTTACATCCTTTTAGTATGGCTAGAGCCCAGAATACTTCTCATCAGCTCAAAATCTTAATCTGAGAGGAGTTACTTCCGTCAGGACGGCCAGAGCAAGGACAAAGCCCATGTTTGTTTCCCTCCTGCTACTGTTCTCCACAATCGCACGGGGGTCTGTGAAACAGGGCAAAGATATAAAATCATCCTCTCTGCCTTGAGCTTTTGGACCTAACAACTTGCCAGCAAAAACCTGCAGCATGGGAAGCAGCCACGTACAGCCACAACCCTTAAATCAAACGCTCCTGACCAAGGAGCTTGGAAATACCTAGTGACTGTAAGGTAGATTTGTGATTTGCAAGTTCCCTGATTAACTGCAAGCATCCCTTGCCTAGCAGGGCAAAGGGAAAGGTCACAGAACAAGCAGTATTCGTAGTGCTGAAAAACTTGCACGGTCTCTTAAGAGAATAAAATGCCCCAGGCAAAGGGAATGAGCTGTGAAGAACAGCCTAAGTGCTCCAGCTGCGCAGTTGCCTGCACAGCTGTCTAACTTTTCCTTACTCCGCCACAAAGATCGCACAGAGAGTGCGACAGCTAATCAGTATTTCCCTTCGACAGCTACTCTAACGCAGCTCCGTTTCCTGAAAACAAGACCTCAGCTTCGCAGTCTCCAAGGATGCGTCACCCACGCAGTCTCAAATACATCCAGAATGCCTAAAGTAAAAATGTCATCAGTTGCACATAACATTTTATAAGGGCAAACACTAACTCAGCTCTAACTGATGTTCAAAGAAATCCTAATTGGTTCTTTGCTAAAACTCATGTTTAGCAGCTGATCGATTCTTTCGTAACCTTTCAGATGTGATCTGTGCTCCCAATATGCTTCAAAAACTGCATGAGAAGTACTACTGGTAACAATAGAAAATAACAAATATTTGAGAGATTTTTTTTGTCGCTCTTCTCTTTACAGAGAGGCCCTTTACAGATCCTGTAATAGAATTCATGAGATGGAACAGATGAGGAAATAAAAAACACAAGGCATTTTCTTTTTTCTGTTTTATTGAAAAAGAAATATTTGTTACAAACGATTTCTTCCCCCCCAGGCACTAGACTTTGATTCAGTTACCCAGGCTAGAGGTGCTCTCCTCTGCAAACAGGGAGAGAGGCTCCAGGCCAGCACATACCCTAGCACAAGGGATTCCTCCAAACGTCCCTTATCTGTCCTTAAGATTTCCCAGCAGGACGCTGACAGTCCTCACCTTATTGCTATTTCACAGGAATAACAGCGTTCACAAATCACATTACTCAGGACAAACATCTCCATAGACAAAGGCCACCAGAAGCATTGATTCTGAGTTATGGCAGGTGCAAGTTTCATCCGGCCTCGGGGAAGTAATTCTCATATTTGGCAGGGACCTCAAAGCCCAAAAGTCATTTGCACATGAAGAAGAATTTTTTACGGAGGAAGTTGAAACAGCCCGGGATCTGCTTGTACTTCCCCTTGGCAGATACGGCATGTGCCACCTGAGAACAGAGGACAGCAGTTGAAGAGCTGGCTGCTTTTCCAAATCATGAATTCTGGTGCAACCTTTTGGAGGAAGGACAGTGAATAGGA